ATGCTTCACCTGTATTTGGTGCCAAACACCTGCCAAAAACTTGGCTTCACTTTAAGTTTCATGGGCCGTGTTCGTTATTGTCATCTTTTTCGTCGATTTGCTCCAAAACGTGACTGAATCAAGCCTAGTACTCATAACCGCGAAATTCGCTTTTTTTTGACATTGCTTCGACAATTTGATGTTTGTCGAAGCAATGTCAAAAAAGAGCGAATTTCGCACTTATGAGTACTAGGCTTCAAACAGTTTCAATTTATAAATCACGTGCCTGTCAAAATATCGGAGAAAAACGACGAAAAAAATGACAAAAACGAGCACGGCTATAGCAGATTGGCGCATTCCTACTCCTTATGTAGGACAGTGCATTACCTGTGTAAAGTGAAGCAAAATACTCTAGAAATATATTTCTATATTCAAATCCTCTTTATACTGAACCATTAATAAATAATTAATTATACAAATATTGAATATAACAAAGGGAGCGAAAACGTTCTCAAATTGGTTATGAGTATTTTTTTATGATGGATGGCCATTTAAATCCTATAGATTCATATTTAAAATTAGCAGGACGTAAGGCACAAAATGGCGGCATTTTCCATATGAATATATAGGATTATAAAAAACCAATAGAAAATTAGACAGCAATTATCGTCACTGTGGTAATAGACCTATCTATTTTTACCTGTATGCACGCGCAACACGTGGCAATGCATTTTTATTGGCTAACTAGTACTTACAGGTGTGAAGTAATCCTTTTGCACGCTGGGTATCTACTTGTCCTTGTTCATTGCCCGTGGTCTGACAAGGATAAAATTATGCTTGATATTCAACTTGACGTAGCTTGACAAGTGATCGATTTTCAATTGTTTGTGGTTTTGATTGACAAATACGTTGCACATCACGCCATTTTCCTCCTTCCTTTTTTATCCCGTGCAAATAATAAGAACGGATTGCTATACATAAGTCTAAAATAATTTGGTACGTTTGCCCTCGTCTTGCGCAATTAAGCATTCTGCGACTTTTTCTGTCTAATAAAGTTTTCGTATTATTACCTCTTTGTCTGGTAAAATAGATAGATCTATAGAGTCACTGTAATCGGCAATACAGTGGCTTAATAAATCTTTACATACAGTGTGGCGACAATAGAGGTCTCACCGCCATTTTGTTCCCCCCCTCTTGTTACTTTTAAATATTAATATATGATCTAGGATATTGATAGGTCTGTATCTGCAGAAATCACATAACTAGTCAGAGCGATTTTCATTGGTTGAAAACAGTCAGAAACAGTCAGAAAACTAGTTTCAACCAATGAAATGCACTCTGATTTGTGATTTATGCAGAAACAGACCTTTTATACAGGGTGTCCCAGAATATGTGGGCAATCTCTCGGATTCAGATAGAACACAAAAAAATAACATGACAACTTCCTATAAAAAAAAATTCCTACGCCCCCCCCTACGAAGTTACGTGCCCCTAAAGGACGCATCTGAAAATCGTTTTTTTTGTTGATAACTTTCAAAATACTTCGTGTATTTTTTTTCCTTTTAATATGATGGATACGGCTCCGTGTCATTTGCGCGACAGCCGTTTGCGCGAGGGAGAAAAGCGCGATAGGAAAAGCGCGAGGGACAAAACCGCGACGGAACAAAAACGCGACTGGAGAAAAGCGAGAGTAACAAAAACGCGACTGTATAAAAGCGCGAGGGACAAAAACGCGAGGTACAAAAGCGCGACAGAACAAGATCGTGACTGAACAGAAGCGCGAGAGACAAAAACTCGAGGGACAAAAGCGCGACGGAACAAAAACACGACGGAACAGAAGCGCGAGGAACAAAAACGCGACTGAACAAAAGTGCGAGGGACAAAAACTCGAGAGACAAAAGCGCGACGGAACAAAAACGCGAGGGACAAAAGCGCGACAGAACAAAAACGCGACTGGAATGAAGAGTGATGGACAAAAACGCGACTGGAATAAAGCGCGATTGGATGAGAACGCTCGACTATCTACGAGGAATATAGAACGCTTTCCAAAATACAAGACATTAAGACATTCTCAGTGGCTCCGGTTCAAAAGAGCGATATTTGAAATAGTGACATTAAAAAGGCGACATATTTTTTAAGCGATACATCAAAATAGCGATATTCAAAACAGCGACTTATTAAAATAGCGACATTCAAAACAGCGACATGTGAAAAAAGTAGCGACATATCAAAAAAGCGACATTCGAAAGCACGATACTTAAAACAGCGACATTGCAGAAGAGCGACATATGTAAAGAACGAGATTTAAAACAGCGACATCAACAACGGCGACCTCTAAGCAAAACAGGGACACATCAAATTGTATCAATAATAATCAAAAAAATGCAGACTACTCAAACTAACCCAAACTAACCCGTTCCCCTAGTGCGATCTTGTCCTCGTAAGTTAGCATTTTATTTGAAAAACAAGGTTGACATTTTTTAAAAATAAAATGCTAACTTACGAGGACTAGATCGCACTAGGCGGACGGGTTAGTTTGGGTTAGTTTGAGTAAGTCTGCAGTAAAATGCTAACTTACGAGGACTAGATCGCACTAGGCGTACGGGTTAGTTTGAGTAAGTCTGCAGTAAAATGCTGACTTACGAGGACTAGATCGCACTAGGCGTACGGGTTAGTTTGGGTTAGTTTGAGTAAGTTTGCAATAAAATGCGAACTTACGAGGACTAGATCGCACTAGGCGGACGGGTTAATTTGGGTTAGATTGAGTAAGTATGCAATAAAATGCTAACTTACGAGGACTAGATCGCACTAGGCGGACGGGTTAATTTGGTTTAGATTGAGTAAGTCTGCAATAAAATGCTAACTTACGAGGACTAGATCGCACTAGGCGGACGGGTTAGTTTGGGTTAGTTTGAGTAAGTTTGCAATGAAATGCTAACTTACGAGGACTAGATCGCACTAGGCGGACGGGTTAATTTTGGTTAGATTGAGTAAGTCTGCAATAAAAGCTAACTTACGAGGTGTAGATTTTACTAGGCGGACGGGTTAGTTTGGGTTAGATTGAGTAAGTCTGCAATAAAATGCTAACTTACGAGGACTAGATCGCACTAGGCGGACGGGTTAGTTTGGGTTAGTTTGAGTAAGTTTGCAATAAAATGCTAACTTACGAGGACAAGATCGCACTAGGCGGACGGGTTAGTTTGGGTTAGATTGAGTAAGTCTGCGTTTTTTTGATTATTATTGATTCAATTTGTTTATCACTTATTCTATAGTTCTAAGTAGGACAATATGAAAAACTTTATTAACAAAAAAACCAAATAAATTAGTTAAAAATACAAATTATGGAAAGCTAAGTTTAAATGGTTGAGTTTAAAGCTACTGCTTTAAAGTGATTTTGTACGTTGGAGAAAGGGTATTCTTGGACTAAGTTTAACAATCGAGAATTAACTTGCTCATATTTTGAACTCGTCGCTGGGGGCTTTCTATACCCGGTCCTTTATTTGTTGACAGCCATTTCAACAACGCTTTTGTCCCTCGCGTTTCTGTTCCGTCATGCTTTTGTCCCTAGCGCTTTTGTTTCTCGCGCTTTTATCCAGTCGCGTTTTTGTTCAGTCGCGCTTTTGCTCTTCGCGTTATGCTCCGTCGCGCTTCTGTCTCTCGCGCTTTTGTTCCGTCGCGCTTTTGTCCCTCGCGCTTTTGTTCCTCGCGTTTTTATCCAGTCGCGTTTGTGTCCATCGCGCTTTATTCCAGTCGCGTTTTTGTTCCATCGCGGTTCTGTCCCTCATGTTTTTGTTCCGTCGCGCTTTTGTTCCTCGCGTTTTTATCCAGTCGCGATTGTATCCATCGCGTTTGTATCCATCGCGCTTTTTTCCTGTCGCGTTTTTGTTCCGTCGCGCTTTTGTCCCTCGCGCTTTTCGTATCGCGCTTTTCTCCCTCGCGCAAACGGTTGTCGCGCAAATGACACAGTAGATAAGACCCCTTAAAATGGACCCTTTCAAATACACTTGGCCAATCTAGTTTGCCAGGGACGGATTAGCTTTGACACAATAATGCTATTTTTTTTCACACCCTGTATGATATAGGCATAGTAATAATATTTTTAGATAGTTTCAACCTTGAACTAGAAAAAAGGTACTCTTATTCGATGTCAATAAAATGAGCTGGTTTCGAGAAAAATCTGTTTTTTGTGTATTAATGGTTTTTAATTAAATAGTTTTTTATGTCGACTTAACATGAGATCCTTCTAATCTTATAAATACCATACTAATTTTATTGAAAGATTGTTCGACTCTCGACAATGTTTCAATATTAGCCCTTATTTCGCGACATTGAAAATTTATCCTTTCTACTAATATTTCCTCAGTGTCATTATTGCGTTAAAGCTAGTCCGTCACTGGTAAACTAGATTGGTCAAGTGTGTTTGAGAGGGTCCATTTTAAGGGCTTACCTAGTATCCATCATATTAATAGAAAAAAAAAATACGAAGTATTTTGAAAGTTATCAACAAAAAACCGATTTTCAGAGGCCTCTTTGCGGACACGTAACTTCGTAGGGGGAGCCGTACGATTTTTTTTTTTATTGGAAGTTGTCATGTTATTTTTTTGTGTTCTATCTGAATCCGAGAGATCGCCCACATATTCTGGGACACCCTGTATAGGATTTAAATGGCCATCTATCATAAAAAAAATTGAAATCGAAGTATTTGACGACTGTTATTAGATCCATCAAATAATTCAAATACGTTGTTTTCCATGTTTTATGATGGATTGGATGTCACCGAAATCCCATATATTTGGATTTGAAATAAGCAATAGGTGAGCACAAGATGACGGTGTTCGCAATTTAAATATATGGGATTTTAGAACTAATCAAAAATAAGACAATTGTCGCCACTGTGGGTAATAGAGTCACTGTAATCGACATCGTCGCGTGGCGCCATCTATCTTAATCACGAATACTAATTTCTTTTTACAGAGTACTATAATACCAACCCTGCATGCATAATTGTAGCCGTCGCCTGCTTGTCATGGAGCATAATTCAGTTGTTCCTAGTAAAATTTGAATATGTCTTCTAAAAAGTTGCCTCAAAACTCAAAAACTACCCAATCTACTGATCTTACATGAGACACCTAATTTAGATTCCTTCCGGTGATAGATATTTATATTGAAATTTTAATTTTATCCGAGAAAATCTGATAATTACTCAGCGGGCAAGTGAAAGCGAATTTTCGGAAATGGCATCTGTTTCTAATTTAATTAGGAAAATTTTCGATAGCTACGATGTTGTGGCAGTTGAAGAAGAACAGAATCGTGACTCGATGGAAATTCAAAAATCCATATTGGACCCAGACCAGATAAAATCGAAAGCTATTGATGATTTCAAAAATCTTAATTGCATTGAGTTGTATTTTGAAGAAAACGATTCGGAAGAAGTCATTGCATTGGAGAACATTGGAAACGAGCCATCAGTTATTTCTTTTAATAGACTCAATATACCTATTCTCTATAAATGCCCGAATTGCGAAACTCATTTTCCAAGTGAATATCAATGTCAAAAGCATTATTGCAATGTTAAGTCCAAATTTTCCCAAGCAAGCTTCTATGACATGGACCAAAATATTGAAGATATTTTAGAGACTTTGCATCTTCCCAAAAATATTGATGATCAAAATCAGGATACTGCTTACCAGTCTATTAAAAATAAACTTGATAAGGACGCCTCTCAAAAAACGTTTCTGAACATCTATTGCAACAAGAAGCCTAAATATCAAAAAATAGCCCCTAAGAAGAGGAATTGTTCAATTGCTTGTGCAGAAGAGTCCAAATGCGAAAAAGGCATTTACGTATTTGATAGTTTGGGGGCCCATCAGAACAAATACATTTTTACTTGCAGCACTTGCCCAGAGGTAATTATTATTTTGAATCTCATATTTTGTCCTTTTTTATAAATAAATATACGTATACCTACCATTAGATATTTCAAAGCGCCAAAGCGCTTTCAACCCATACAGAGCTTCATAAGAGTTTGAAGCCTTATGAGTGCGATATTTGCAAACGCAGTTTCTGGAAAAACTGCCATTTATGGCAACACATGAAATTTCACCTGGGTGAGTACCTATACCTATCTTATTTTTCTATTTATGGTTGAAACTTGATATACTTTTATCTACGAGCGTTTGGTTATGACGTTTTTACATAACCATTTTTCTAGTATTTGAGTTATGTTATGCGACTCATAACACAACTAGTGGTGTTATAGACTAGGTTATAAATTCATAACACAACTAGTGGTGTTATGGACGAGGTTATGAATCTATAACGTAACTATTTTTGGTGATTTGACAAATGTCAAAGGTAAACCTGTAAAGGTAAAATGAAGGTACACAACTACCTACCTAATAAAAAAAAATAATTGAAAAAACACTCTTATTTTTCGCTTTGTAGATAAAACGTTGTACATCACAGGTGCGTTTAAACATGACTACAAAACTCGTGTGATAATCTTCCACACTCGTTATTATTGTAATCATGTTCATAAACGCACTTGTGATGTAAATAACTATTTTTTGTTATAATGTAACTGCAAATACAATATAGATAATAAAATCACAAAAGTCACTAGGTACAGGAAGTCCCATTTGAGATGATATTAGGGGTTATCTGCTAAACTCCTAGAGGTAACTTTTTTTTTAATTTCACATTCCTGGAACAATTTTTCGGCGGGCGTAATTTCGACCGGTCATCCCCTAGCCTACCTGCCCAAAGCAAGAGGCCCATTTATTGACATAGGTAATTTCGACCGAGGGTAATATTGTGGTAATGTTTTCTAATTGGATTTACCTGTTTGTTAGGGCTATTTGTTTAATTAATTTAAACACAACATTGTTTAACGTATGTTTATTTTCAAGTCCGATTTGCCACTAATCATAATAACAATAACTTAACCTAACTTCTAACATCCAGCTGTGACTCCGCTACTAGAGACACAGTGGCGTACCTATAACTAACTTACTGCTTAAAAATAACATTATTACACCTTCCCCTTTTCGCTAAAGAAGAAATGGCTTAAATATAACTAAATGATTAATACTAATTACTAATACATAACGTAATCTGAAAACTTATTTGGTTTTCTGATGATTCGTGTTGACCTCATACTCTGATCACTTTGAGGTTGGCTTGGCAAATTACCAGGCATATTATCAGTCACATTATCACTAAGGTCAACACGCTCACCATTTGAACGATGCTCATTACCATAGTCACCATCACCAATGTCGTTCAAGTTTTCATTTTGAGTACCACTTCTTTTTTTATTATTAAACTTCACAAACGACTTTCGTAAATGGTTACTATTTCTACGCAATATGTTTGTCCCATTATCAATAACATAAGAACGAGGAGACTCATGCTTACCTATTACCTTTGCCCTACGCCATTTATTTTCATCTCTGTATACAATATTTTCATTCTCCTTAAAATCCGACCTATCTCTCACATGCCTATCATAATATTCCTTGTAAGTAACATTTCTGTCTCTCAAAACTTGTTTAAAGTCTTTAATTTCACTGTTTTGACATTCTACTATCGGTAATTTAGTTTTCAGCTTTCTAGAAAATAGCAGTTCCGCAGGTGATCTTTTCAAACTAGTTATAGGAGTATTGCGGTACTCCATTAATGCAACCCAAATATCATCAGCTTTACGAAGGATATTTTTAGCAGTCTGCACAAAACGTTCCGCTAAGCCATTAGACCGTGGATATCTAGGGCTACTAGTTTGAAACTTAAAATCGAATTCTTGTGCAAAACGCTTACAATCATATGAATTAAATGGCATGTTGTCTGCAATAACGGTATCAGGAACTCCATGAGTTGCAAATATCTGTTTAAGGGCATTTATAACATCAACAGACTGCTTGCCCTTTAAACATATTATTTCCAACCATTTAGTCAGGTAATCTACTACAATTAAATAAGATTTGCCACCATGCTCCAAAATATCACATCCCAATTTTTGGAAAGGTAGCTCCGGAATTTCATGTGACAAAAGTGGTTCTTTAACATTTGCATACCTGTATTTCTCACACACTCTACATTCTTTAATTTCTTTCTGGATATCCGTACACATACCTGGCCAGAATAGAACATTACGTGCCCTGTCTGTCGTACGATTTATGCCAAAATGGCCCTCGTGTAATATTTTCAGCATGTTTCCACGTAAAGCCTTGGGTACAATAACCCTGTCATTGAAAAACAAAAGATTATGTGCACTATGCAAATCAGCTCTTAGATTATAATAAACTTGAAGCTCTCCCTCATACTTCTTTTTCTTCCATCCTTTCATACAATACTCCTGTACTTTGCTCAAAACATCATCTTTCATACTCTCCTTTCTGAATTCCTCTTTACGACTTTCACTCATTCTCAAGTATTTCTCAACACCATGCACCATATCTTTCAAATCCTCATCATTCTCTGCTTTTTCGCCGCTAACATTTCTAGACAAACAATCAGCTACATGCAAATATTTACCTGGCAGATACTGAATCATTATATCATATTTTAATAATTTCAAACGTAATCTTTGTAATCGGGGTGAATTTATAGACGAAATTTGCTTATTTAAAATACTTACATTGGGTTTATGATCTGTTATTACCTTGACTGGGCGTCCATAGATAAAATTGTGAAATTTTTCGCAAGCATAAACAATTCCCAACATTTCTTTTTCAATTACTGCATATCTTTTTTCAGTATCTGTCAGGCTCCTGGATGCATAAGCAACAGGCCTACCCTCCTGCATAAGACAACAACCTAGACCATTCTGCGATGCATCTGTTTGAATTATTATGTCTTTACTACAATCAAAATTTTTTAACGTCACATTTTTTGCTATTTCCTTTTTAATTATGTCAAGTGCTTTGTCATGAATACCCAACCATTGGAAAGTTATATCCTTTTTAAGTAATTGATAAAGCGAACTAGAGATTTCACCCAGTTTAGGAACAAATTTTCTTACGTAATTTATTAACCCTAAAAGCCTTTGAAGCTCCTTTTTATTTGCAGGAGGGTTCAGATCATTAATGGCTCGAATCTTCTCATCATCAATTTTCATACCTGATTCATTAAAAATGTGCCCCATATACTTAACCTCAGTTTTTCTAAATTGAAACTTTTGTTTGTTGAACTTTACACCCTTTTCTCTAGCTCTACACAAAACTTGTTCTAATACCCTATCATGTTCTTCCATACTTTCACAAGCAATCAGCAAATCATCAAAATATATGATTATATCTTTTATGTCACCAAAATTTTTCAGATTTATTTTCTGAAAATACTCAGGGGCTAGATTTAATCCAAAGGGTAACCGGAGAAACCTGTAACACCCAAAAGGGGTTGCGAACGTTGTCAACCTGCTAGAAAAGTTATCCAATCTAACTTGATAAAATCCGTCTTTAAAATCAAGAACTGAAAAGTATTTTTTACCTGACAATTTTGAACTAATTTCCTCTAAACTTGGAATCTCAAAAAACTCTCTTTTAATACATTTATTTAAGTCCTGTGGATCCAAACACAAGCGCAAGGATCCATTTGGCTTTTCAACAATAACTAAATTGTTTACCCATTCACTTGCCTCACTCACTTTAGCAATAATACTTTTACTTTCTAATTTATCCAATTTTTGTTCAAGTTTATTTTTTATAATCAATGGTACTCTTCTAGCAGGCTTGGCAACTGGTTCACTATTTTCCTTTAAGTGAATCTTGCAAACATCGGCAAAACTTCCCAAACCTTCAAAAATGTCAATATTATCTCTAATTATTTTTTCTTTGCTAGTCTCATAGTATTTACTCACATATAAAGACTCTGATTTTTTTATAAAACCTAACAAATAACATGTAGGTAGACCAATTATTGGCTTTGCCTCTAAATCTACAACTAAAAATTCTAAAATAAAACTATTACCTGACCTTATACACTTCAATTTAACTTTCCCCACCGGCTTCAATTTTGCACCACCATAGGCTTCTAAAATCGTGTTACACTTTTCCAGATTATAGCATTTACGGCTGCCCAATGTTTCTAAAAGTTTTTTAGGCAAAATGTTCACTTCCGACCCTGTGTCTATTTTGAAATTAATGTCCAAACCATGTACACTAATTTTCTCAGTCCAAACAAGTTTATTTGCACTAACCAATTCTCCAATTCTGCTTAAGCTGTGCACATATAAATCTTCATCGGAACTGTCATCACCTCCCTGTGTTTTTTGAATAACTTCCTTTACCCTCCTAACTGGCCATTCTTGACTTTCTGGCGACTGACATACTCTACTGAAGTGGTTATTTTTCCCACACTTGAAACACTTCTTACCGAAGGCTGGACATTCAGCATACCCATGTTGCTCATTACAGTTTCTACATTTAAACTTTTTCTTACTGGTTTCCCGGGCCTTTTCCTGAGTTTTTTCCTCAGAAATGTTTCTAACATTTCTTCCTTTGCGCAATGTGTCTACATGGGCTTCCTCTTTACCACGCACAGATTGCAACTGTCTTTTCATTACCTCGGCATTTCTGCAAGTTTCTACTGCTCTTTCCAAAGTTAATTTTTGCACATTGAGTAGTTTTTCTTGTACTGCCGGATCATTTGTGCCCAATATTATTCTATCTATTAGAATGCTATCTTCTTGTGATTCATACTCACAGCTTTGTATGAGTTTTTTAATTTCACCAAAAAAATGATCGAATGGCTCATCGTTTCCCTGATTTCTACTATTGAACACGAATCTTTCATAAGTTTTATTTTTTCTGGGGGCACAATACTTTTTGAATTCATCTACAACACTTTCAAAGTTGTCTTTTTGTGGAATCTTCAATATATTATATATTTCTACTCCTTCTGGTCCAATCATATTTAAAAACAGGGCAATTTTTATTTTATCTGACTTGGAATCTTTTTCGGTGGCTACTAAATACATTTCAAAATTTTGATAAAACCTTTTGAAATTTTCACTCAAATTTCCCTCAAACTTCATGGGTTCAGGTAGTCGGCCTTCCATTTTTTTAGTACTTTTTACTTTTTCCCTTCGAAAACAGATCTCACAAAATTT